CTCTCTCTCTTCTTCATATATATATACATACATATATATATATATATATATATATATATATATATATATATATATATATACAAATGTAAAAGAACGGAGAGTAAGATTTCAGCTTTCAAAACATTAATTTAAAACAGGTCTCAGTACAAAAGTAAAGAAATAAATATTTATTTATTATGCAGTGTTACATATATATATATATATATATATATATATATTCATTTTTATATGTGGAAATATCTACTCTTTGCATGAAGAAAGTCGCGAAACAAGTCGTGTAGCAGAATTATGGAAAATAGAGTATAATATAAATTTTAAAATAAAAACAGCATTTCAACCAAAAGCTTTTGCAGTTTGTCTTTTTAATATATATATATATATATATATATATATATATATATATATATATACAAGTATAGGATTGGTGTATACGGAATAAATTCTAATAGCCAACAAATATTATTCTTAAAAGAGTGCTCAATACAGGGTAGAGCAAATATAATTAATTATTCGAAAATCATAACATAAATATGTTATAAAATCACTACAAAAATAGCCATTTTGTTTCAACACTTCTGGCGTCTTATCAAGTGATGGTGTTGAATGTCAACACAATCCCTTCATCAGACACCCGTAATGTTGAAGCAAAATGGCTATTTTTGTAGTGATTTTTTAACATATTTATGTTATAATTTTTGAATAAATAATTATATATATATATATATATATATATATATATATTACAATGAATCGTTCATACAAAAAGTAAATTAGTAAATGTAATGATATAAAATGGCGAAATGCCTTCGCTAACAATATGCATTAACGTACTCATCACTCGAATTTTAATATAAATTGAACTGCACTACATATTTATATATATATATATATATATATATGTGTGTGTGTGTGTGTGTGTGTGTGTGTGTGTGTGTGTGTGTTTGTGTGTGTGTTTGTGTGTTATGAAGAAATAATATGGACGTATTACTTTTTGAGTACAGAATAAAACGATATAATCCTAGTCGGTTACCGAAATTTCGAATTAATTTCTGGGATGGATATGTTTGGGATTATTTGTTGTCCCTACTCGGTAAAACGAAAAAAAAAATCTACAAAAACAACTCGAATTATTTAAAGTGTTTCTTTGGCATTTCTCCTCGTAAATACAATCGTGCAATTGTGTAAAACCTTTTGTAAAAATTGCCTCCATCTCGCGCTGACTGGCTCACAATTGACAAACGTGGTTTCATTTCCTACTCCGAATCTATCCAGATCAACCAAAACTATTGTTGTCATATGCAAGCCCCTTTCAAACATTTCAATACGTGTTCATTTGAGAAACGCTACACGAGCACACGTCGTTAAGCTATCATCTCAAGCCTTTATACGAATTATGGTTATTCTATGCTTGGCTCAAATTTATACTGACCCTTTCTTTGGAAATTGCACTCGGAAAGGGCATACTCTTTGGACAATGGTCGTAGCTTTATGGTAATAGAAACATTCGCTGTCGAATTGATGGAAGAGTACTTCGTTTTTACTATGGTAGCCAACAACGGGTATTAAAATGATTTTTATCTGCCATCTGCTTTCAATAAGATTTTATGAAAAATAAAAACGGATACACTTTGCTGTTAGAGAATTATTAATCTAGTTAATCTAGTTAATCTAGCAACCTGATAGTCGTGAGTTCGATCCTTACTAGAGGTCTTGCAGCCTGACGCTAAGATTAAGCTAAGCTTAGAAAAGAACATTAAGATAATGTAAAATTAATTCAAAGGAAGAAGTATTAATTTGAATTTTATACGTACTCGGTTCTTCTTCAATCTGCCATGATATCTGCGACGATGCCGGTGTCAAGCTGTATTGGCCTCTGAGTTCTCTTTGGATCGACATCGGTGGCGTAGAGAAGGGTGATGTGCTGCATGAGTAACCGCCAATCAATCATCAAACCTGCCCAGGACTGCGCTCTGAAGACGGCATATGCTACACCGCCATCATCAGCCAAGGCGTAACACTTTAGACGCAGATCTAAGGCCATACAATAAGTTGAAATTTCATACTACTTCAAAGAAAAGGTTAGGAAGAAATCCCCTCAATTTGAAAGAGGTAATCTGAAAAAATGATTTTTTCTGAAAAATTGTTTTAGTTGAAAGATTTTATAAATTTCAACTGGCAGTTACACTGGCTGCTCGGTCAATGACTGTCCAATGTTTCCTTAAAAGGAAACGGCTGATATTACCATTGTCATTATTATTGGTTCGACACATATTCTCGGTATCAATTGCTCCGATCTCGAGTCATTAATGCTGCAGTTCTCACCCGCGCCCAGTTACCCAACCTATATGCTTTTCTCCAACAGCGCCGGCTCTGTTGGCTTAGATATGCACACCGTATGCCGGATGAGAGGATTCCGAAAAACCTTCTGGACTGAGAACTGACCACCGTTGTATGGGCAACCGTTAATCTCATATGACAAAAAACACTGCCCAGGCAGCGCCCTAGAAAGGACACTCCAGTGTCGTTTCATTGCGACGTTAACAACACGGGAAGCAACGTTCTACTCATGTGAGGATTCTGAAGGTCCTTCAGTACGGAACACTGGTCACCTTTCCATGGGCAACCGCCAATCTCTTATAAAACCCTGTCCAGGCATGCGTCCTGGAGAGGACACTCCTGCGTAATTTCACTGCGACGTTAAAAACACGGGTAGCAACAGTCTACTGACGAGAAAATTCCGAAGGTCCTTCTGTACGGAAAACTGACCGCCTTTGGATGGGAAACCGCAAATCTCTTATAAAACCCTGCCCAGGAATGCGACCTGGAGAGGACACCCCAGCGTCGTTTCACTGCGACGGCAACTGCATTGGAAACCGGCCATCGACAAGAGGGAACGAGATCTACCTCATCTTCGTCTCATGGAAGTCTTCAAAAGTAACATGTAAGCGATGGACATGGACATCAAGAGGTGAAAAAAAAAAAACATCGCCAACGACCGCTCACTTCGGAGACGCGAGAGAAGAAACAGAGGCTTCCCGCCGGAGAGAAGTGTGCCCGAAAGAAAGAAAACAACACAGCAACATCGAAGAAGACAGTCTTTACGTGCATTGGTTGAAATCGAACCTGTCACTCCTGTGTGGGTCAGTACAGCCATAACAGACGCTGTGCCGCCATCAGCAGCTAAGGCATAAATTTGGTGTCGCAATCTGGGGCCTGTTTCATCCTCCAGCGAAAATTTAGGATTCCTAAATTTTCGCTCGAGGATGAAAACAGGGCTTGATAATTTAATTTCAATAATTATATTGAGGCTTTTGGCTCTTGTTTTTTTGAAACATGAGAACTCTTATGTAGCGAAGAAATCATATTTTTTAAATCATAATTATAATATATATATATATATATATATATATATATATATATATATATATATATATATATATAAGGGATGCAACAGCTTAATTGCCCATTACACAAAAACGTTTATTCTCTAAGTTTCGTTTTTCCAGGTTTTAAATAAGAATTTTAACCATCTTGACACCATTTACCGTAAAAATCACTGAAAAATCACTTGAGTTATTCAGTTTAAAAGAGAACTTGTTAAAATCTTTTTGTGTCAACCCCACTGTTTTTCTAACTGAGCAATGGTGAAAGAAGGAAAGAGATCATTCAGGCCTTCAGTAATGGTGTTAACATTCAGACTCCGATTTCTATCTCCAAAGTCCATTCAAAAAGCATCAAGAGAACAGTGAATAAGTTTAAAAATAGGAAAGAGTAGAGAGGAAACTGGATCAAGAGGTCACAACAGGAAGAGGGGCCATCATTTCAACTTAGATCTAAAGAAATCAATTAGAAAAGATCCAACTCAATACCTAAGACGTTTGGCACGTGAAAGAGAAGTTTAATCAATGATAATGTAAAGAGCAGTGGAAAAAAAACTTGAAATGTACGTCAAAACTTTGATGTACCTTGTTACTCCAAGAGAGAAAGTTAGACGCGTTGGGAGGCCGAATAAGTTGGAAAATGATCCTGGAATAATATACATACATATATAAATATATATATATATATATATATATGTGTGTGTGTGTGTGTGTGTGTGTGTGTATTTGAACTGTGTGTCAATCCTTCATGAGCGTCTGATACTTAGCTATGATTAATTAATGATGATCTTGTAATTTTCGTTTATGATCGATTTTATTAATATTCTTCTGTTAAACTTGAAGAGTAATCATACATTCTAATTGCTCAAAGTAGAGTCCAATAGTGTTATAAAAACCTCGAAGAATTCCAGTTAGATATATTTAATCATTTCTAAGTTAAAACTGTTCAAATCTTAATCTAACAATCAGACAGATTTGGTGTTACACGATTTGGAGAATTTTGCTGTTACACCGGGTGTATATAAAATCGTTAATGTGTTTCAGATCAGTTAAAGTCGGTTTAAGATTTTTAATTTATCTGCCAAAGAAACTAATTCGAAGAAAATCGTAGATTAAAAGTAAGAAAGACATACTCAATTATAAGACGATAAAAGAATAAATAGTTCCACCAGGAAAGAATAATTGAAAAAAAAATATTAGCACGAAATAAAAAAAAAATGTAACATGAATAAAATATTGAGATATTAAAATGGATGACGATTACGATGACGAGACGCGTTTAGCCATGATTGTCTTAGCAGCACCCCTTGTACTGCTGCCGAAGCTGAATTGGTTGTGACTGGGTTAAGTTATTCTGAAGGAATACACATCTTCTTTTAGCGGTAGAAATTGTTGGGAAAATTGGAAAAGTTAAAAACGGCTTTAGAAAAGAGAACTTTTATCAAATAATGGCAGACAGTATAAAAAAATAATCTGAAAGACAATTTTTTAAAAAAATGGAAAGGAGATGAAAGTCTGAAAAAGAGAGGGAAGAGGAAAGGAAATGGCAAAATTCCAAAGAAAATTTAAACAGAAGAAAGAGGGAAAATAAAAAAGAAGAAAATATAGAAAGAATAAACTTTATGGACATGTCAATTGAATGTAAAAGGAAGACAGGAAGCAAAAGAAAGAAAGAAAGTAAGAAAGAAAGAAAGACGAGATGAACAAAGAAAGAAAGAAAGAAAGAAAGAAAGAAAGAAAGAAAGAAAGAAAGAAAGAAAGACGAGATGAACAAAGAAAAATAGAAAGACGACACGAAGAAAGAAAGACAAGATGAACAAAGAAAGAACGAAAAACGAGATGAACAAAGAAACACAAGATGAAGAAAGAAAGACAAGATGAACAAAGAAAGAAAGAAAGAAAGACGAGATGAAGAAAGAAAGATAGAAAGAAAGACGAAATGAAGAAAGAAAGATAGAAAGAAAGACGAGATGAAGAAAGAAAGACGAGATGATAAAAGAAAGAAAGAAAGAAAGAAAGAAAGAAAGAAAGACGAGATGAAGAAAGAAAGATAGAAAGAAAGACGAGATGAAGAAAGAAAGACGAGATGAAGAAAGAAAGAAAGAAAGACGAGATGAACAAAGAAAGAAAGAAAGAAAGACGAGATGAACAAAGAAAGACGAGATGATGAAAGATAGAAAGAAAGACGACACGAAGAAAGAAAGACGAGATGAAGAAAGAAAGAAAGAAAGGAAGAAAGACGAGATGCAGAAAAAAAGACGAGATGAAGAAAGAAAGAAAGAGATAAAGACGAAATGAAGAAAGATAGAAAGATAGAAAGAAAGACGAGATGAAGAAAAAAAGACGAGTTGAAGAAAGAAAGAAATAAAGAAAGATAGAAAGAAAAACGAGATGAACAAAGAAACACAAGATGAAGAAAGAAAGACGAGATGAAGAAAGAAAGAAAGAAAGAAAGAAAGACGAGATGAAGAAAGAAAGATAGAAAGAAAGACGAGATGAACAAACGAAAACGAGATGAAGAAAGAAAGAAAGGAAGAAAGACGACAGGAAGAAAGAAAGATTGAAAGAAAGACGACACGAAGAAAGAAAGACGAGATGAAGAAAGACAGAAAGAAAGAAAGAAAGACGAGATGAAGAAAGAAAGACGAGATGAAGAAAGAAAGACGAGATGAAGAAAGACAGAAAGAAAGAAAGAAAGAAAGAAAGAGTAAAAATTAAAAAAGAAAGAAAAGTAAAAAATGAATAAGAAAGAAAGAAGAAAGAAAGAAAAAGTAAGAAATGGTGTAAAAGTAAGTAAAAGAAAGAAAGAATTAAAGTAAAAAAGTAGTAATGAATAAGACAAAAGAAAGAGAGAGAGTAAGAAACTAAAACAAAAAATTAAAATGAATAAGCAAGAAAGAATGAATGAAGGAATGTGACGCAAACGTAAATATAAGGGAAAAATAAAGGAAGAAGAAAAAATAAGAAAGAAAGAAAGAAAGAAAGAAAGAAGGAAAGAAAGAAGGAAGGAAAGAAAGAAAGAATACGACGCAAAATTAAAATGTATGAAAAATAGGAGAAATGAAAGATAAAGAAAAAGAAAAGAAAAAGAAAAGAAAAACAGAAAAAGAAAGCATTGCTTCTAAAAAAAAAAAACAAATAAAAATGAGAAAAAAATATGAAATACGAAAACGCAAAATCCTAACCTTTTACGATTTTTTAAAAAATCTCTTCTGCTTTTCTTCATTTATTCCCAATTCACTCGTTCCTTATTATTTTTTTTCTCCGGTCGTCTTCTTTCAACGAGAAGTCAAATGTCAGCCATCTCTTTAAAATACAAAATGTAGGCCATCCTATGCACAAAAAAAAAAAAAAAAAAAAAAAACAAAACAAAAAAACAAAACAAAATTCCAACGAATCGGTCACCGGGGAATAAAAATCTAATTAGCTTACCAAAATGGCGGGAAGACTCGCGTATCCAAGTCACAACGGACGTTCTTCTCAAAAGATTTTAACAAGTCAGCCAATTCGAACAAACTATGTTTGCCCAAGTTTTCGAGTATGGTCAGTAGTATAACTAACAATAACCTTATAGTTCGCTTCTGGATGATAGGATTTCCAATTTTCGTGGTTGGCGTCGACATACCATTGGAAAAAGGTGAATTGCTCAGTTATTTGTACAATGGCTGAATCGCATTATAAAATTTAAAACTCAAGAATGGAGATAATAATCACGATGCACACACACACACACACACACATAGATATATAGATAGATAGATAGATAGATAGATAGATAGATAGATCCATGTTTCATTAAAAACGACAGACAAAGTACTTATTATAAAGAAATATACTACTCCAATTGATCCGAATAAAAAAAATCAAATTTATTATCTATTATAAAAAAATCTAAGACAGCCAACCTTATCCTCGAAAATAACAACACAGCATCTAAGTCAAAATTACAAACATTATCTATGAGTTCACATGCCCCTTAAGGAACTGTGTTCCTGATCAAACCAGACTCATAAATAATTACATCGGTTACACAACTACATGCTTATCCAGACGTCTCACATTACACCTATCTGATCACAGGTCCATTAGAACCTATTTAAACACACAAACAAATTTACCCAACTCCATTAGGAACATACTAGTAGAAAACACAAATATATTAACTGCATCCACCTGCAAAAAAAGACTAAAAATAATGGAAGCTTTAATAATAAAAAAGAAAAAGCCAACTCTTAACAATATTAACTACGAACAAAGCTACAATGTGCTAACCATATTCGGAAATTAATAACATCCCTACCACACACTAAGACATACACAGAACGCACACACTCAGTTAAGCTGAAAAATCGAATCATCCTTGATAATGGCTAAAGGTATAGCCGAAAGCGCTCGGAAATATAAAACATTTGGACAGTTCTTACACACCCTATGTCCAGAAAAGAAAGCTCTTTTGAGAACACAAGAAAAATTAAATAAAAAGGCTTAACCGTAGTACCTTGTCCGTCGTTTTTAATGAAACATGCATAAGGGAAGGATTGCTGCTTAAATATACAATATATATATATATATATATATATATATATATATATATATATATATACCCAAGTAGAGGATTAATGTATACGGAATAAATTCTAATAACCAAAAGATACTATTCTTAAAAGAGTGCTCAATACAGAGTAGAGCAAATATAAGTTATTCGAAAATTATCACATAAATATGTTATAACATCACTACAAAAATAGCCATTTTGTTTCAACACTTCTGGTATCTTATCAAGTGATGGTGTTAATTATCTATCTGTCATATTATCTTTCCCCCGTATATACTCGCGTATTTTGCGACATTTGAAGACTTCATTCTGAAGCTAATTTTAAGGGGGTCGCATCATACATGAGATATAAAATTAGCGTATGTACTGCTGACCCTGGCTACGCCGTTGACCTAACGATCTATACATTTCCTGTAGTCAATATGTAGTGCTGTATTTAAAATAAAAATTGCACATGGTACATTACACGAGTATATACTAGGGACGCGCCATTTGGGTAAGCAATCTAGGCAGTATCAAGTCTGGATAAAATCGATCAGAAGCTATATTTCCCTTCTGTGGCACAATATGCCCCTAATCCAGCAAAATTATGAAGGTTACTCTGAATATTATGCAAAATATTTTATTTTTCTGTAGATTTACTACATAAAGGTCACAAGCTACCTATCCTGATATATATATATATATATATATATATATATATATATATATATATATATATATATATATATATATTTCTGTAGTTCACTGCTACCAACAAGCAGAAATATTTCTTCTCCTGATGATGGCCATGTTGGCCGAAGTTAGTCGAGGAATCTAAATGAAATAATAATAAAAAAAAAAAAGAAAGAATATTAATCTAATTTATTTTAATATTTTTATTGTTCAAAATATATATATATATATGTGTGTGTGTGTGTGTGTGTGTGTGTGTGTGTGTTTTTTTGTCAAATGTGGATTTTTTTTTTTTAATACTTACAAATGTTTTTCTTCATATTTACAACGTTTCGGTTCTACGCTCTTTTTCCGGATTTTTTTATTCGATACTTATTTCGTCCAACGGGGATTGTTCTAGTTCCATTTTCCCGGATGTCTGTTATCCCTTTAACTCAACTCTCCTAGTGTTTGGTCCACCAACTGTGGCCTCGAACTCTACTCACTGGATCTAACTAACGTCTTTATCCACTGAGCCATGTCTCAGCTATTGTTTTCAACAGCATATTGAAATTTTTTCTTTTTCTTATTATTGATTTTTTTTTTACCAGAGATATTTCAATTTTTTATTGTTATTTATTGATTTTCTCTAGCATTTCTCAGGTTTTCGTCTGGTGTTCCTGCCTTATATTTAAAGATTCTTCATAGAATCAAAGAAGAATCTCTCTGACATCTCGGCTTCAGCCATTTTCCCACAGCCGTAATGTAAACGCCTTTTCTATTCCAACAGTTTCTTTGCTCGCACTTCCTGACAGCGAAACTCTCTTCCTCTTACTTGCTTCCCTGATAACTATAATTTTCAAATATTCAAATGTAATGTCAATCGACATCTTCTGATGAGTTGATCCTGATCCCCGTCCTTCTCTATATTCTTTCCTCAAACACCCCTCTTGATACTTTGTCTCACTCTCCGTAACCCCTTGCGTGCTAGTGGTACTCCCGTTTTACTTGTGGTGAAATGCTTAAAAAAATGTTATTAATCCTGACCTGGCATCTTGGATTCAGTTACTTTCCCAGGACCGTAATATAACTTCCCTGGGCCTTTTCTATAAATACTTTCATGGTAACTGTTCTTATAAACATTCATCTATGGTACCTTGACTTTATGAATGTAAGCGCAGTACTAGATTGGCAGCAAGGTCTCATCATTTATGTTGAAATGGCTAAATGTAACCGTAATTCGATGCTAACAGTTTCTTCTCTGGCACTTGTCGCTTGTGGAACTTTCTTCCAAAATATATTAGGCTCTAAACAACCTGCAAATGGTTGCTAAGCCCTAGAAAACGAATCCATCAAATGTTTCCACTGACTCCAACAACACACTGTCAATATTTAACAGCCCCGCCACGAGGGATGTATGTGGTACAAGGCCGAGTTTACCGTGGGTTCTTCGAGCCCGTGGGTTCTCCGAGCCCGTAGGTTCGACCAAAAAATATCCCCACAGAACCCGCATTAGCGGGTCCTGGCCTGTCTACCTCCCCGGACGAAACTTTGCCCTTCGGTAAAGCCTCGTCCGCGATCGACTCTGCCAAAGAAAGAGAGTTCAACAGTTGAACAATCTAGGCGACTGTTCCCAACAACACACTGTCCGGCCCATGGATTAACCTCAAATAACAATATAACCAGATCTACAAATTAACGCTTTAATCACCTAGCGAATTTAAATCAAAAGATGAAGACAATAGCCCACTTGTAATTTATGAAGGAGTTTTGAAATATGACCTACAATATGTTGTTAAATGGTGCAAGGAGAGGCTTGTTAATGTTAACGCTCCAAAAGCGAAACTACTCTCTTTTAATCATGTAAGAAAACCGCTTTTTTTTTCATCAGCAAGGCTGATGCTAACCTCCTCATGGGTGACTATTTGCGCCTTCTCAGTCTAACGTTGTCTGTTGACAAGTGGGAAGGGTATATTGGATTAATGTCAGTCGAGAAAGTCTGTTCACTGTGTCATGCTAGACGTTTTTTTCGCTAGAATCTAATCCATTTATAAGTGTAACATTCGTCCTTCCTTTGAATATTGCTACCACATATGGCCGGGTCCTCCTTCTATATATATTTAGAGATAAAATCCAAAGAAGAATCTGCAATTAAATACCGTTTCCATATATCGTCTTGTACCCCCGACAAAATCCAAAAACGGACAGATATGGAATGTGATAGGTCCTCGTCTGGCATCTCTTCTACAGCCACTTTCTCTCAGACGGGGTGTGGCTTCCCTCTGTCTTTTCTACAAATATTTTCATGGCAACTGCTCTGACGAGCTTCTTTCACTGGTACGTCAACTGCATGAATTTAAGCATGCTACTAGGTTGGCATCTCGGTCCCACTCTTTCACTGTCGAAACAGTTAAATGTAACCAACTCTTCTACTCCAATAGCTTCTCTCGCACTTCCCGGCAGTGGAACTCCCTTCCTCTTACTTGCTTCCCTGATAGCTATAATCTTCTAATATTCAAATGTAATTTCAATCGACATCTACTGGTGCGTTGTTCCTGATCCCAGTCCTTCTCTATATTCTTTCCTCAGACACCTCTTTATACTATTAGTCTCACTCTCTGTAATCCCTTGCGTGCTAGTGGCACGCCCGTCTTGCCTGGGGTGATTTGCTTTAAAAAAAGAAAAAGAAAATGTTATTGGTCCTGACCTGGCATATTCCTCTCTCATCGCCGTAACGTTGCTCGCCTGTGGCTTTTCTATAAATATTTTCATGGTGATTGTGCTGATGAATTTTCCGCTTTGTTACGTAAACTTCATGAATTTAAGAATAGTACAAAATTGGTGGCAAGCTCTCATCATTTTACAGTTGAATATGGCTAGATGTAACCGTAAGTTCTATGCTGACATCTTCTTCTATTGCACTTCTTGCTTGTGGAACTCTCTTCCAGCTTCCTAGTCAACTTTGATCTTCAAAAATTTAAATGCAATAATCATTATCTTCTGGCTTCTTGCTTCTTGTTTTATTGTCCTCTTTCCTTAATAGAAGCTTTTCTCATATTCTCTAACACTCATTAACCACTTGCATCCTAGTGGCTTTATTGCCTTGCTTGGGGTGAAATTATTAAAATAATACTAAATACAATTTCAGAGTTAGAAGTAGCCTTTAGAAGGAACTAGAAACCTAATCTTACACTTGAAACGAGGGATAAACCATTACTCCTGTTCAAATAATCGGGGAGGAGTGTGAACCGGGAGATAGGTGAAACTGTTCCATCTTTGATAATTGAAAATAGATTGGTACCTGAATGACATGCAATTAAATATCCCTTTGTAATAACAGCTCAAGCCAGGATAGCAAAAGCTTTTGTATCTGTAAGTTATGAAGAGTATAAGAAAGAACTTATTGCGATATTAGAGTTGAAATGGCACTATGCAACCGTAAGTTCTATGTTAACAGTTTCTTCTATCGCACTTACCGTTTGTGAAAATCTCTTCCAGTTTCTTGTTTCCCAGACAACTTTGATCTTTAAAAAAAATTTAAATGCAATGTCAATCGTTACCTTTTCTCGTCTTAAATCTTGTTACTTTATTGTTCTCTCTCCTTAATAGCTTTTCTCATATTCTCTAACACTCAGTAACCCCCTTGCGTCCGAGTGGCTTTATTATTTTGTTTGTGATGAAATGATTAAAGACAAATTCTAGCTAATGGCTCAAATTTTAAAGAACTTTACATCCCGACTATTTTGTACTTTCAAATCTTCTCTAGAAAGTAGCTGGGTTTGAAGAAATCAGGGAGACATTTAATCGAAGAAGTTTTCTATCTATTTCTCAAGAGTGTTTCTTACTCGAAATTGTCTCGGACGATGTCCAGCGATTCCGGAATTATTTACATAATAATCAAGGAACTAAATTGAAAAAAACCTTCGTCCAGAACAACATAAAACAAAGTTCTGTTACTGCAAATCTATTTTTATACCTTTTGATTATTTTTTTTTTTTCTTTACTTTTTAGTGAATCAGTTTTCGCGTTCTGGCTTTTAATGAGATTCAATATAAAGGCCAGGGTTGTTGCTGATGTAAATGGGCTTTGCGTTTGATTTATAAGTGTCACCTTCAGTAAATCTACGGACTTATCTCTGGTTCATAAAGGGATAAAGAAAGACTAGAAGGGGATATAATTAGATACGAAAAGAAAGAACGAAAGAAAGACAAAGAAAGAACAAACATAAGAAAGAAAGAAAGAAAGAAAGAAAGAAAGAAAGAAAGAAAGGGAGAAAACTGAAGAAAGAAAGAAAGAAAGAAAGAAAAGAAAGAAAGAAAGAAAGAAAGAAAAAGAGAATATAGAAACGAAAGCTGGTAAAGAAAGAAAAGAAAAAAAAAAAATATTAAAAAAAGAAAGAAACGACACGAAAGAAAGAAAGAAAGAAAGAAAGAAAGAAAGAAAGAAAGAAAGAAAGGGAGACGGACTGAAGAAAGAAAGAAAGAAAGAAAGAAAGAAAGAAAGAAAGAAAGAAAGAAAGAAAGGGGGATAGGCTGAAGAAAGAAAGAAAGAAAGAAAGAAAGAAAGAAAGAAAGAAAGAAAGAAAGAAAAGAGAATATAGTGAACGGAAGCTGGTAATATGAAAGTAAAGATAAACAAAAATATTAAAAAAGAAAGAAACGACACGAAAGAAAGAAAGAAAGAAAGAAAGAAAGAAATAAGATTTGATGAAAGGAAACTGGCATTATGAAAATAAGGACAACGAACTAAAATGTTAAAAAAGAAAGAAAGAAAGATAGGAACTAAAGAAGTAAGGAAAGGAAGAAAGACGACCTGAAAAAAGAAAGAAAGAAAGAAAGGAAAGAGAATATGGTGAAAGAAAGCAGGTAATATGAAAATAAAGTCACCAAATTAAATGTTAAAAAAGAAAGAAAATACACGGAAGAATGAAAGAAAGAACTAAAGAAAGAAAGAAAGAAAACATTAGATCTGAATGTCGCCTACTGTATTTGGAATTGAATGTGAATGTATTGTAAAGTGATGTTTAGCACAGACCACGAATGTAGCAATTTTTTCCTCACTGTGTGCCTCATTGCTATTTTCTTCTTAACTGATGATAATATTAGCCGTTTCCTTATAAGGAAACATTTGTCGTTCCTTGACCAGGTGGCCTGTACTACTGTCAGTTGTAATTGAATAATTTTTTCTACTAAAACAGTTTTTTCAGTAAAACTAGTTTCTCAAGTCAAATAACAGTTGGCGCTCTTTCCAGTGTTGGTTACAATTTCCTTCCTAACCTTTTTTTTTTTTTTTGGTAGTGGTGTGGAACGTCAACATATTCAATATTTACTCGTTTCTGCTGTCCATTTTAGTTGTTGCCGCTGTTGAAAGTCTTCAGGTGATGTGGTTTCTGTTATTTGGAAAAGTACTTTGTGATTCTGAAGTGCCACAGTCCACAAGGTTCGAACAAGGATTGTCCTTTCTGAAACCCTATAGTCTTCGCTCGCCGGAAGATATTTTTTGGTCACCGATATCAGAAAATGGCTGCGTACTGCTGACTATTTAGATGTTTTCGAACAATTTCGGCACAATGCATGACAAGCAAGGAAAGTCTGAATCAGACGTGACTATTTAAGAATACGATCCGTGTTTTGAAAATAAATATTGTTGGTATCTTTTATATCGAAAAATGTATTGCTTGTATTTTTGCTGTAATAATGTATTTTTATTCTTTCATAGTGTTTTCCTTTTGTTGGAGGAGGGGCTCACTATTTGCTCATAGGTGGCACCCTAACAGGTGCTACTACACAGCGTCAGAGCGGACCTGGGAACAACAGCAATTAAAAGGCAGCTCCACGTTCCTCAAAACCTCCAATCAGAGGTCTTGATGCCTCATGTAGTTTATCGTCGTACCCAGGTGTTACACAAACTTAAATGTTGGCATCAGGGATTGACTACACGCGCTAGTAGACAAGCTTACTCGGACATGAGCGGTTAGACATTATATAAACCAACCGGTCTTTCCCGGAACCCTGGGGTACCGCAAAGGGTCGCTAGGTGATAAATATTCTAATGCATTTTTGAATAACTTTTGTTTAATTCTATATCCGTAATTTTATTCTACCCGTATGGCATAGTGTTGAAAAATCCTTCGTTATTATAATAAAGGTTTCAATATATTATATAAAAGTATATAATAATTTTTATGCACTGAAACACGAAAACTATTTCAAGTTAAGAAACTCTGATATAGACGGGTGATTAAAATAGATAGCCACAAACGGTGTTATTATAATGGATATAATTAAAGTGGGCGGGGTAAAGTGTGAGGAAAATGAAAACAAGGGGGCAAAGGTCAGTTTAGACTGAAATGATACGCTTGAACAGAACAGGGTAATCGAAGAATGTATGACTTCTCTGACCGCAACATACAGCGACTACAATTAGAACGAAAACAATATCTAATAAAGGTATCAGCAACAGCACTAATATCGAACGATGCGTTTGGAGTAGAAAGGATTGAAGACCAAGTCTGCTTCGGGAGTTCATCAATCACCTCTCGTAAAAATAGCCGATCAGAATTTTGAAGCTGGTGAGAATTGCCGAGAACGGACAGAGATGAAGGGTGTAAATAAAAAGTCCCAGAGAAAATATTACCCGAAAGGCGAACGAAAATGAAAAGTAAAACGGTTAGGATGCAGGGGAGGCCATTAATCAAGAGGAAGGTAGGAGTGCACATTGCGAAAGAAAAGAGATTATAGCAATTTACAAGACCAAAAAACGAGGCATCCAACATGGATCGAACACACGACAGTTCTAATTGATTTAACGAGACAATCAATACCTTATAACAGCAAAATTGTACACTTGTTAGATTAAGATATGAACCGTTGTATCTTAGAAATGATTAAAGATATCTTACTGGAATTCGCCAATGTTTTTATAATACTACTGGACTTTGAGCAATAAGAATGTATAATTACTCTCTAAGCATAACAGGAATATCGTGATAAAATCGATTATAAACGAAAATGTCATGCTCATCATTAATGAATCATAGCATGAAGTATAGAAATAAAAGTTCTAATATATATATATATATATATATATATATATATATATATATATATATATATATATATATGTAACTATACCTGTTTTGAAAAACCTTCGAATTTTTGATTTGCCAATAATCAAATCAATCTCGAAGGAAAAAAATTTTAAAAAAAGAAAGAGCTAAAAACATGAAAGTCTGTCGAAAAAAATCGCACAGATACAAGTTTAAAGGCCAAAGAAAAAACCCCGACACGAGTAAACAACTAACTAAAAAGAGCTCAATACAACCGTAGAGCAGACCTAGATAAACCTAGTGAGCCAGCTTTCCCTGACGATCGGCTTAGGTGAAACCTGGGTAGCCCTTGCCTGGCTCACTAGGTTTGACTATATATATATAAAAGTGAACATTGAAATCAACAGTCAGAAGCGACAGGCTGTTTCATGCTAGGCACCATCGTCAGGTGGCCTGATACTGCCTAGCATGAAACAGCCTCTGAGTGTTGACTTCAATGTTCACTTTTATATTTATATTTACACACGCTCTATCTCTGATATTGAGCACTTTATCCCATAAATATAGCACACCTTAAAACTATATTTATTTATATATATATATATATATATGTGTGTGTGTGTGTGTGTGTGTGTGTGTGTGTGTGTGTGTGTGTGTGTGTGTGTGTGTGTGTGTGAAAAGTGTATATAAATATAAATAAATATATATATGTATAATTATTTATATATTATATGCGCGGTACTTATTAGAATAACCAAGTACCTATTATCCGAATTCATACCAAACGGATAAAACAGACAAACCACCAACAATCACAATTTAATTTCAAGATACCATCAAAATAATTGCATCTATCATTATTATAATTGCACCACCATTAGTAATCACTTTTACCACTCTACAATATCTATTAACTAACAATATTATCATTAACACCAACACACAGCACCATCACTTACACATCACACCCACTATTAACATATAAATCCACTACCATCTTTATTACTCCCCCAGCATATTTAATACCTTAAAACAATATGATGAGATATAATTTCCATATGTAACCATGAGAATAAACACCTATTACCAGGCAGCTTTAATATAATAATAATAATAATAATTTTGTAATTAAAAATTAAAAATTATAGCAATCTTCAACTACCATAATTTTACACAGAATACCTATTATCAGGATTTATACCAAAATAAATTAATACATATAACAAAATAAAACAAAAATAAAATAAAACACCAACAACCACTTTTTAGTTCAAGCTACCACCACTATAACTAAATTCATGGTTTTATCATTCTCCCACCACCGTTACTAATCATTTCTACCAATTTACAATAACTATTAGCTAAATATCATTGTCTCCAATCCCTTGAAACATTACTATCACGTCATATCATATAGACCCGTTATTAAATTGAACCACCCTCTCACCCAGCACATTGAATATTAAACATCACCATATAAATTAACCAATAAGGATTACAAATTTCTACCTGTTACATATACACAGTCATCAAAAACAAACAAATAACCAGCTTTAAATATAACAAATAAACCCCCATTTTTTTTTCAAAAATTTAAAAATAAATATAAATAATAATAATTTTTACCTATCATAATTTTACACAAACCCCACCACACGCATATACATACATGCGAGGAAATATTTTTCAGCGAAAAAATACATAATATGACATGTATACATTCACGAGACATTTCCGCCACACTTCCAATCTTTAAA